TTAGGCAGCAGTAATCCAGATATGACAATCCACCAGGATATTCTCCTGGGCTTCGTTAAGGAGTTTATGAGTGTTCGCATACATCTCCAGCCTTGCCAGTGCCAGCCACAGTTCAACACTGGTTGGATAGCACTCCACAGCTTGCTCAGCATGATCCTGGCATCCTCAGGTTCCTCCAGCTCCACGGCTGCTTTCCACAAATGCACTGACTTTGGAACATGCTCAAGAGCTTTCCTAAGGATATGTTTCTTGGCATGGATGTCTCTCTCCAGCTCTGCTGCTCTCTTATAGATCCGCACAAATTGTGGCAGGTGCTGCACAGCTTTGGCCGTATCTCCAGGCTGAAGCTGAGCAGCTTCCAACCAAACATCTTCACTCCTAGGGCACATCTCTCTGTTCCTTTCATGATGAGGTTTCGAGCAACTTGGAATTTGCCTGTGTCCTCCTCCAGTCAGGCTGATGCTATCCAGGCTGGTGGTCTGGATTGGTCTCTTGGACAGATTTCAGGACCAAACAGGCCTTTTTGATATTATTGATATCTCCTCCATGTGTGGGAATCATGGAATTCAAGCCTGTCAAATATCCTTTTGGGTCCACTACAGTCTGGCCACTCAAAGAGTCCAACACCTGGCTTAGCCTCATACCCATCAAGGTGTTCCTGGCTTGGCCAATCTTCCTTATATGCAATCCACCTGTCCCAGGTATCATCAAGCCTGGGACTCCATATGCTCCTGGGTATGGAGTATTCAGACCCCCTGGGTACAGAGTATTCAGTCCACCAAATTGTGTCTGGCATGAGTCCACAGAAGTGTGATTCTCCCCTGACTGAAAGTGCTTTGCAAAGAAGCTGTGGGGACAGGAGTCAGGTTCTCATGACAAGGATTCCTCTGCCACTTGTTCCTGGCATGCCCAACCTCAGGAATATTCAGCCACTCCTCCTCAGTAACCTCCTCTGATTTCTGTTTCAAGTCTGAGAAATGCTATTGAATTTTAGGTCATTCCATACAGTATGTAATGACCTTCTTTTTCTCACTGTTCACTCCTTTCTTTCCTGTGTCATCCATCCTCTTATCCAAAGCTGCATAAATAGCTTCATCATCTTTTTCATAGGGGTCACTTGAGAACAGGCTCTCAGTGTAGCCACTGAACTCATTGTAGCTGGTGTCATTCAAGTCCCCATTGTCATCATCTGTTGTCTGGTTCTCCTTCCCTCACCTGGTCCCCCACAGTCTCTTGCCCGGCAGGATGTGCAGTTGGGGTTGTTGGCATGGTGGGCAGGGCCAATATCAGAGCAGGTGGTGAAACCTGTGGCTCCATGGCCCAACCCTGGCACATAGTCCAGCGGTGCAGGTGTGCCCCAGAACAGCTCCTTATTCATCATGAGATGAACACCTCTCACCTGGAGAGGCAAGACTGAAGCAGGGATCAGAGCACAGAGTGGGGAAAGGTGGCCAGGAAAGCGGCAGCAACAGTGGAAGTGACAGCGAGAGCTAATTCCCTTCCCCAGGTAGCAGCTCCGACCATCCTCCTCCTCCTCAGCTAGCATCCACCCCAGCCCAGTCTTTTACCTGCCCGAATCTCACAGTATCTCTGCCCCTCGGAGAGAGACTCCCAGATAAGAGAAGTGCAACCAGATGCCTTCCTCCCCTGAGTTTGGCCACTTCTTGTTTTTCTGAAGTATCCAGTTGTTAGTGCTTCCTGGCAGCTTATGGGGAAAAATTCTGCAAGTAAAAAGGAACAAAGGCAAAGAAACCTAACCCCCTGTGCTAGTTTGAAACCAAACCAGTGGAGATCCCAAGTTAGAACTACAATTTACTAGGAAAATTTAAAAAAAAATGCAGTAGTGAAAAAAACCACTGTCAGAGTCAGAATACAACCTGACACCTGTTGGGCAGGGTGTTGGTAGCAGTCAGATTAAGTGGTGGCTGCAGTCGTCCTGGAGTGACAGATGTGGTTCTGCTGAAGCAGTGATCCTGTAGAAGGGTGTTGTTTTCCTCTGAAGGTCCAGTGGTGGCAGAGAAGGGTCTGGTCTTCCTCTGGGAATCCAGTGGAGAAAGGCTGCCTGTGCTGTTCTAAAGCTCAGAGTGTATCCAGGCAGGAATGCTTGGCTCCTCCCCCTGGGTGGAGCATCTCACAATGGCATGATGTAATTTTATCAGTCATGCAGTGAGACTCAATGGCCCATTGACAGAAGAGATCACCCTGGAGTTATGAGGGATGGGTCATGGAAGAGATAAAGGACACTGCCCCACCTGGTTTTAACAGCTGGTAATAGAATATATCCTTTTGGTTACAGCTTGCATTGCAACCTAAGGCACCCCCAACAGCTGGGTTTTGCCCTGACAAATCTTGATATGTAGGGAAGAGTCAATTTTATTTTTAAACTGATGAGATTGTAGCATTTTCTGATGCTTAGTTATTGCTGTTTACATGGTATATTACTAGAATTTCAGATAGTTTCTATGAAATGTAAGTACAATTATGCACTTTAGAGAGTTTGCATTTTTGAACTTTGAAAACTAAAAGTAACAAACCCTGTTAATGGAGATAGTACATCAAAAGAAAAAAACAAAAAAACCCACACCTAGTCATATCTCTTCTTGAACTGTTTGTTTCAAGCCCTTGCCTGTGGCAAAAACAAGGCAAAACTTCAACTGCCTCCTGTGAAGGGAACTGCTAAAAAATATTATCAGAGAGAAGCAAATTTTAAAATTCCAGTCCTGAAAAAACATATACCAATGCTGGACTTTGTCCTGGGTTTGCAGATGCTGTGACTCTCTTCCAAACCTGGGCAGGAGGAGGACTCCTGAGCACTAAAATATCTTTAACTCCTACAGATGATTTGACTTCCCACTGACCACAAAATAGCCAAAAATTATGTTTGCCCTACCACACCAAGTCAATCCAAGCAACAACTGTGCATTTTTTTGATGACCTGTCTGTGCCAACATCAATGATTATTGACTGGAGAACATTAAATACAAGACTGCTTTTTAAAAGGTGTGAAGTACTGTACAAAATTGTGCTTTAGGTGATAAAAATAAGCTGTTTAGTGTAAGAGAACCTGTTTCCATGTCACTAGAACAAAGGTGTCTGGTGTAGGACAGCAGTGTGGTGTTGGGCTTCCCATCCATGAGGGCTGCCTTGGACACATGCCTGTGTTACCACACTGTGGTATAATAAATCATTAAAATGTAAATGCTAGCCATGAACAGGTTGTGCACAAAATAAGATTGCAGGAGTGAAAGATAGATGGAAAACTTGTCATTCTATTGAGTTGCATTTGGTTTTATTCTCTTTACTGCCGAGTAAACAGCTGAATAATGGGTGTTTCTGTTAATGTCAGTGAAATTAAAGCATTTTTCTTTTAATCATTCTGCTGATACATCGGTTGTTACTTTAGGTGTGTCCAAGTTTCAGAGGGTAAGTGCTGCCAGCCATCCTCTAGCCAGAGGAGCCATCTCTGGATCTGTTTGCAAGTCAGTCATTGACTGCTGCTACTGAGGTGAGAGCTGGGCAACCAGACCAAAATTGTTACAAATTGAGTTAAAAAAATGTCTGCAGGGCTTCCAATACCTGGAGAAGTACAAAATAACCCACAGGTGGTAGAAGGTGACTAAATGGGGCAGAGTGGGCCTGGTGTGGCAGAATTAATTGTGCTGATGGCTGAGCAGGATTTCCTGGACTCCTCCTGTTTCTCCCTCAGGTAATCACTAAGGTTTTGTGCCTTTGACTGCCACAGCATGTGGTGTCAGAGGCCCTTTGCTTGGGGAAGACACAGGAATTGGCTCTGAGATTCCAAACTGGACAGCCCACCCCACACCCCCACTGCATGTTGTGGTGCCCTGCCTGTAGAAGATTCATGGAAAAAGCTCTTGCCCTTGGAGGCTGGAGTGGATTGACATCTCCAGCTCTGGCAGAGGGCAGTCGAGTTTAACCAACCTGCATGGTCACTCACAGCATGGAGAGTGGAACACTTACTGGAGCTTGTAAGGTCAGCACATGTATGATCCCTGTGCTTCCCTTTGGACACCTGCATGCAGGGAACCGGCTCCTAGAATAATGCATTTGTACATATGTCAAACAATACATAGTTTTATAGCAAATAACTTGGTGTACAGTAAATACAGGGGTTGGCTGAGTGCAGAAGCCAGTACCAGCATGGGTTTGGGTGCCTGACTGAAAAAAAAAAATTGTTAATAATCCCTTTCCTTCAGATTGCACTTGGTGTACAAAAGCAACTTGGGAATGCATTCCCCAGGCTAATGACATTTCAGTGATTCAGCTCAGGTCTCTGTTTACATTATTTATGTAAGCAACTTCAAACTGAATCAATGGTGTCCTTTTAAACATAACTGGATTGAAAAACATTATGTGTATGCTTTGTATTTTGTATAAAACAAGAAAATACAACTATTTTGACTGCAGGTGTTTGGTGACAGCTTCTGTTCTGTGTGGGATGCTGCCAGAGATGGTCTCAGCTCAATAAAGTGTCTCAAAATCCTCAACAGCCCTGGCCACTCCTGCCTCCTCCTCAGCTAAACAGGGCTGACATTTGCTACTGGAAAAAAGATGTGTGATGTATAAATATACACATTTTACATTTATATAGTATATAAAACATATACATGCTTACCTCTATAGTGTAATACATGTTATCTACAATAATGCAACACACTATATACAAAATATGGACTCTATACACTAGATCCAACAGTAGCTAGACCTTACACAATACAGGTCACACTGTATTACATTGTATATAAGAGGATATGTGCAAATTCCTGTGTCTACAGATGACCCATCCACCTAAACATAAAATAAATGCATGCAATAAATGTGTCTAACCACATATGCATTAGTGGAACGACTGAGGGCAGATCTCAAATCCAAGCCCTTCCATGGAGGACTTCCCTTTGTCTAAGACAGGACAGGAGGAGAGGTAGTGCTGGTGCCTGGAGCAGCCTCTCCTTTGCTTCCTGACACGGAAAGGCAGCCACTCCATCAGAATTAAACATCAAATTTATTGCATAATACTGTACTATGTACACACACATCGAAAATAAACATTTGATATAATTGTATATTTGTCTTCAATGCTGCATTAGAAAGAGGCTGGGGGGCTCTCCACGTAGCCCACAGCTTGTCTTTAAAAACAAAAACCAAAAAAACCCAGAAGCCTAAAACCTTTTGTTACGAGGTGCAAAGTTCAATACTGTAAATTGAACATGGTGCATAAATACTATGTCCTAATAACAAGTCAATGTCAAAACCATCCTAGGCTTAAAATGAGATTTACATCAAGATCAGAAAAATGGCAGGAGAGAAGGGAGAAAAATCATTCAAACTTCACTTAACGAGGCAGTGAGACTGAGGAAAAGAGGACAAAAGCTCTCCAATCATAGATTTAGGTTGTGATTTTTCTATGTTTCCAGTCTAATTTATACAGATTGTCCTTCAGGCCCCCTGGCAAAGCAGCTGCCAAGTGAGAGAGAGCTGTTCTCAAACAGCAAAGTAAAGTAAGTCTAACTGCAAAGATCAAACCAATCTCCAGACAGGGGGCTATCACTCAAGACGGGGATCTTCTACTCCTTTCTTTGACCTGACGAGACTGGAGAGATTGTACACACCTCCCACACTCACACTCCCCTGCACTCACACATCCACACACACAGCTCCTCTGGACGGAGGTGACAGCAGTAAAAGCAGCCACCTCACCTTGTATTGGAGTAACAGGACTGCTGGGATGGAAAAAGAGGGCTGGCCACCCACCCAGACTGCAGACTTGCCAGGACAGAAACACATCACGAGGGAGGCATTTAGAGAAACCTGCTATTATAGGTAGAGCTTGTCCTTCCACAAGCCTGAACACAAACCCCAGTACAGAGGGATTCTGAGGCTTCATTGAGAAGCTTGAAAATAAAATCCAAGACAAGTGAGGAAAAACAAGCTGACCTCTGTAAACTACCATATTTTCCATGAGACATCCTGGTGCAAAAAGACAGAACATCACTAATGCACCACTTTGGGGTCACAAATGACATCCCAGCCCAGTACCATCCACCAAGGACCAAAGGGCAGAGGAGATATTTCCATTCAAAGCAAGCAAGAACCAGCTTGCATTTAAAAAGGGCTGAAAAAGGAGTGGGGGGAAATCACAGCTTTTCAAAGAGGAGATTGCTGTTTCATCCTTAATTTCCACCATATCTTAAATGCAAGGGACATCAAGATATTTCAACTGAATTAAAAGAAGAGGTAAGAGTGTGTGTGTATGGGGGCAATAAAAGCAAACTACAAGGAATTGCCAGGAGGGCAGTGATGTAAAGTTGGAGGGGAAATGCCCACTGAACTGGTCTTGTTCAGTAGATGAGAAAATTCATAGCAAGAGCCTCTCCCTGCTGAAGCCCCACAAAATGCTGGCAGCATCAGGCTGAGACTGCATCATCTCTATTATTATTATTATTTATATTTAACACCACCCCCCCCAAAAAAAAAAAAAAAAAGAAAAAGTTGATACCTATTCCCTTACAAAAATAAAGCCCAAGCCCATCGTTCTCTTGCTCAGCACCAAGAGTCTGTGCTGGCCCCGCGGGGTCAGGCCAAGCTGAAGCCCTCATAGTGGTCAATGGCCTGCATGAGGCGGGCGCTGAGGATCTCCTTGCTGCTGTACTTGGGCAGGTCCAGCAGGTTGTAGCAGGTGTGAGCCACGGGCAGGTACTGCTCCCCACTGGGCGTGGACTGGATGATGATGCGCAGGCTGGACATGCCGTAGATGGGAATGCGGTCGCTGCCCGTCAGGAACACTGTAAAAGGTGGGACAGGTCAGGGACCTCCCACCAGTGCTGCACCCACAGGCAAAGTTCAGCTCCACCTGCCTGGAGGGGCCAAAGCCCTGACTGGACTCCATGTAGGGCCTGGCTGGCTCCCAGGGGAGCTGCAGCACAGCAAGGCCAGTGCCAGGCACAAACACCGGCCTTTATCTTTCTAGCAGTCACAGAATCTGAGTGGCTGAGGTTGAAGGGACCTCTGGAGGTCCTTGGGGCTAAGCCCCTGCTCAAGCAGGGCCACCTAGAGCCAGCTACCCAGGACAGAGAGAAAAAAGCCACAATAGAGGGAAGCACCAGCTCTGACTAGACTTGTTGCTCATGCTGGATCACCCAATGCAATGCAATGAAGCTCTGCAGCCACTCCCACACGAGTCTTTCAATTCCAGGGGATGCTGCACCACTGCAAGATACTTACAGAGGAATTTCTTCTTCTTTTCCAAGGGAAATGCATGGAACGTCTCCCAGAACATTCTCACAGTTGGGTGTGTGGCAGTGTAGTCTCCCTTATAGACAGCGCTCTATTAAAAACCAAAATACCACATTTTCCGTTGGCGCTAGAAAGCAAAGACTAAGCAGAACCCAGACCTGATCTTTTCTAGTATGTGACATCAGATCAGTGCCTGACAGCTTTGAAAGGGAAAGGATGGGTGATGGGCAATGACATGACTCAAAGACCGGGCAAGGGCTCTCCTGGCAATGTGAGGAAGACAGACATTAGCCTTCTGCTTTGCAGCTAATTACAAGTGTGGGGAGCAATTCTGGAGTGCCTATTCACAGGCTGACCTCATGAACAGGATCACACACTCTGCACTGTGAGTGACTTGCTGGCCCACAGATTTTGAGAGGATACAATCTTTCCCAGGTGTCCAGACTCCCCTTTGAACCCCTGTGTGGTTTTTGCCCTTGTGCAATGTAGTTTTACTATGAGACCCTTTGTCTTCTCTCTTCAGTCATAGATTTCATCCCTAAAAAAGGGAGATGGAAGTCCTTCTCCCTGTTCTTCCTCATCCTGAATTTCCTCTCTGAGCTTTTTCTGTCGCAGGCCAGCACAGTGAGAAACTTTTCACGTGAGTGACAGCAAGGTGTACAAGGAGAACCAAAAAAAACGAAAATGCATCATGGCTTATCGCATCTCCTGACACAGACTAATGCCCATCTCATGCAACTGCACAATCCTGTCACCTGTGCAAAGTTAAAAAAAAGTACAACAGGGAAGCTTTACCTCCTCCAGTTCCTCCCAGTTGTAGTTACTGTTTCCAACTATCATGGCCCTGAGCTCAGTGGGCTGGAAGAGTTCCAGGACCTTCCCACCACACACTTTCAGGAAGCCAGTAGAAAAGGCCGTGTACCACTCTTGGATGGAGAGGTTGAAGATGTAATTTACGTAGGCTTCAACAAATTCTTCCCTAATGCATTGAGAGAAAGCAGGCAAAGGAAAGCATTTTTAATCATAGGTCTAAGCAGCAGCACTGCCAAGTTTTCCTGCTTCTGCTTGTAAAGTGTTTTGCAAACATGAGTCAGGCTCAACCCACTGCCCTCCTCTCACCAAGCCACTGCAATGTGGACACGGTGTTCAGCATCAAGGGCCACCATGTGTCTGCAAATTTCCCAGCAGTGGTGGCATGGGATGTCCCTCAGGCTCTCTACCACCAGTAAAGCTGAAGAGGTTACAACTGGATGAAACATTTTGGCCTTTTGGTGGAGGAGTTCTTACCACATGCACTATGCAAATGCAGCAGGGGACAGGTGAGGAAGTAAGTAGGAAATAAGGAAGCAGACTAACAAAAAAATCAAAAACCTGGAGTAAGGAATCATATACCAAAGGGGGAGTTATTTTCCAGTGCATTTGTTTTATTGTCATTTTCCCCATAGTCACCTGAGCATTAGGGAAATTCAAGCTGATTAAGCACTTAACTGTTGCTTAATTCCTCTCCGGCTGTTACGGTCATGAACCCTGCACCAAGAGCACATTATGAACTCCAAAGGAGAAGGGGAAAATGCAGGCATATCCTACTCTTCACTTGTCAGTTACAGCAACCCTGTTCATTCCCCAGTTCCCAATGAGCTTTCCTCACACAGGCAGGGCAGTCCCTGCAGACATGCACACAGCAAACTATTCAGGTCATAGGGCAGCAAATTGGGCCCTGGTCTCTAAATGTAGAGGTGGAGGAAGTCATTAAGCACTGTAAGGTAAATTGACAGCCATGTCTAGACTTGGATTTAGAGGTTAGCTCGAGTTCAAAACTCCAGTCAGGATGAAGCAATTGAATTTTGGAATGTTAAGCTGGTGGAACTACCCACTAGCCTTTCTCCTTAAGGATTTTCTTCCCTTGTTTCCTATCCTGACTTAATAAACAGTTCCAGTAGTTAACCTTGGTGCACTTCCCAAGTTTTCTTCTCTTTGCAGGGAAACAAAAACCACATGGTTTTTGCATAGAGCCAGCTCTTTAGCTGTGTAATTGCACGATTTTGGGCAGTAGTAAAGTAGGTAAGAAGTAACACAGAAAAAGCTTTTGCTATAGCAATGGCCTCAGACACATTCAAAACTGTTTTAAATAATCAGATTAATAGGAAATTACTTCATCTCCAGCCTTGCCAGTAAGGTCTTCAGCAATCCTAGTGCAAGTCCCTAACCATGCTGCTGAGTAGTCACTGGATCACAATGTTTTGCCAGCAGAGAAAGAATCTGAATGCTGCTTCAAGTAATAAAGGCATTTGTAGAAATCCAATTAACAAGATTATGGGAAGAAAATAGTTCAGCAGCTGGATAAAAAAAAGAGGGGGGAATGGTAGCTGTGCTAGTAATAACTCTGGGGTGTGCAATCAACTGGAAAGGGATCCAAGTACAGCAGGTCCTTCTGGCTGTGATCAGGGATGGGAGTCAGGCCATGCTCAAAGGAAAGTTTCCGGCTCCAGAATTAGGAGTACAAACAAATCTGCCAGGCTCAGTTTTGCTGGTCACATACAGTTCCTCTCTGAGCCACTGGGGGTATTAACCTGGGCCAAATCACGTCTCCAGTGTCTGCTTAAAATGAGAAAACTACCAAGGGTCTATACAGAGGCCTTTTATAGGGAAGATGTCAATCCAAGTGTCAATCCAAGTACATTTTTCAAACATTGCCACAAAGATGATGAAAACTTGATTTTTGTTCAAGTGCCATTTAGTGCCCATTAACTTTTGAGCGACTGGTCTTAAAATTTGTTCGCAGTGACTGCTAATTCCCCCTCACATTTCCCTTCACCTAGGGTTTCTGTGGCACATGAGCTCACCACAAGCATGAGTCCATCCCCACAGGTCCCCCACTTGCCTGTTGTCCTTCTGCACCAGGATTTTATCTCCATCTTCGATCAGGTTCTTCTGCTCTGTTACACCATAGCTTTCCCTGCAGATCTGTACAAAACCAGGAAATTAATTTTATCAGAAGTATTTTCCAGGGCATATGCCTACAAGAAAGACAGAGTCTTCTTAGACTCAGACAGCTGAGGACTGGCATGTAAAGGGTGGCCCAGAGAAAATGGTATGTGCAGAACTTCTGTTCTCTGCTCCAAGTACCCCGTGTGCTTCACCACCCTCCATCACCTACATTTGTTGTTGGACTGCTATTAAGTTGAAATGTGAACTTAGAAAGGAATAAAAATTATTTTAGGTAAATTTCCTGGGAAGAAAACCCCAAGAGATTGCTAACTAAAAGTTGTTTTTAACTAAGCCCATGAGTTCTGGCAATAAAAAGGACTCTCCTTTTTAACAGAAACTCAGTGGGTTAAGTCTCTCACTGGAAGAATAAACAATACAGATATTTTCCTGCTTTTGCCAACCTAGGATGGCACCAGTACAAACCTACACTCTGTACACTAACTGGTTACCTGAAAAAAATGCAGAAGGGTCAACTTTCAAGTTGCCATAGACAAAAGAGGCCCTTATGTGTGAAAAAGAATTTGGAGAGAAGTCTCTTTTGTTACTTTAAAGGTATCCTTTATTGACACAGCCTGCATTGCCATCACTATGGCTGCACTGCCTCTTCCCAAATGACAGCTCTCTCCTGCAGGAGACACAGTCAGACACAGGTCTGATTCACTCCAGAGGTAAATTTGATCTAAGAGAGTATATGTGCTCTTATTCATGCAATAAGGAAATGGGCACCACTCTCCTTGCTCAGCACAGTGTGGAGCAGATTTGTGGTACCTTATTTTTACCCCAGAGCAGGCCTTGGACAGAGAGTCAGGAAATGATACAGATCAAGATGAAACCATCACTCACAACCTGTTGGAGCATCAGGTCTTGAAACAGTGACAACAAGGCTATTTTGAAAACCACTCAGCTTAATCAACTTACTAGCTCAGTTTTAAGGACCAGATACATAGAAAAGCAAAGAACATCTTAACATTAGCATGGGCTATGTGCCATAGGCATTTGAAGTAAGCCAGAATACACATGTAAATATAGATGGGCTTCAACTGTACCATAGTAATCAGAGAGTTGATATGTCAAATGTGTCTTACTGTAAAATTCAAACAGAATGTCTCCTCCACATCTTCCCCAGGGTAATCTAGAAGTTGCTGGAGACTTCTAAATAACAAGTAGAGAAAGAAATGAAAAAAAAAGAATAATCAGAGATTTTAAAAGTCATACCTCTAACAAGGAAAATAAATTCAGCAGAAGTAAACAGCATCATGTATCTGGGTAGTAGGATTGCAAGAGAGAGAATCTGAGTAATTTGAAGCAGTAAGAAAGAAATACACTTCAAATAAAGAGATGCTTTGTTAGAAGCACAAAAAATGCCAGTCCACAGAAACTATCAATACACTCTATGCCTACCTAGTTCATGGATCACCTTTAATAATCCTGGTTTTGGAACAGAATTACATTTTGAGTTCTAAAGTTCCAATTCTATGCCATCACCACACAAAGGTCTGAGGGTGTGGAGGAAGAGACAAAGGTGGACTGTATCTATATGCCCATCACATAGAAAATACTCTGCTACCCCCCAAAATCCTGCTGCTGTCTTCCTGGCATTTTACCTCATTATTGATAAATACAGCTGTCACTTTGTGTAGTTAAATCAGAGGACAATTCAGAAACAGAAATAAGACCAGCCAAACAGTGGGATGTTAACTTCTCAGTGTCAGGTGGAACCAGTATCCCTATGCAATTAGGTAGAAAAGATTCCATACACCACTTTGAAAAAGTAATTCTTTCACTCCACTCAACTTCTTCCTGTCATGGGAGCAGGTCACAGCTGCTCTGGGTCATGGGTGGGACGACTGACAGCACTACACACAGCTCCCTGCTTGCTGGGCTGAGCCTGGCTCAAGGGGAAAGGCTGAGGCTGGGATCTGGGATCACGCACACAACCATACAGGGCAGGGACAGGCTTCCACTCCACAGAGAGGTGTGTGGGAGGTGTCTTTTGGCTGTGTTGGCACCCAGTTTCTGGGGATCAGGAGGATGGGAGCCTAAGCAGATGGATCCTGCTGTGGAAGAGAAGTCATACACAAAAATCACCACCGGCTCATATGATTTGCTAGGCCCACAGCTACCCAAATTAATCAGTCACTCAAAAGGATCAGGAAGTATTTTATTCATCAACTTTTACCTAGTTTGGCACTTCCTGTTCTTAGCTGGATGGTCTACCTTCCCAGAAAAGCTGCAAATTTTGATTTTCATACCTTCCTTCTGTAGGGGACAGCTCCTTCAAATCCTCTAGGCAGGGCTTCACATTCAAGAGTTTTTTGTACAGAGCCAAGGGAAAGTGAAGGTCTACCACTGTGAAATTGTAGATTGCAAGACCACATATGATGCCAATCAAATGAAACCAGTTGTGTTCTACAAAACACTGCAAAACCACACAGAGAAATCCTGATGAGACACACTGTCACTAGTGCAATGCACACTACCCTTTCCTCCATGCACTAAGAAGCCAGACCCTGCTTTTCCAACTGGGACAAAGTCAGAGAGCTCCCATCAGGTGCCACTTTGTAAATTTCTTGCTGGTGTGTGGCACAGAAATGAAGCTTCATGAAGAAACACCATGCTCTGTTAATTTTGTAAGCTATGATCGCTGTGGAAATAGCAGCTTTCCACCTTACTGGCCTTTAACTTCTTTTTGAGTACCTCTGTGTTTAGACACAGTGCTTCAATGTTTACTGCCTAGGTACTGCAAGAAAATGTGTTAACGATCCTCTCCCTATTACCCATCTTGTTTTCTATTAAAAGCTTTTGCATCAGCACAGTTCCACCCAGGCAGATACACCAGCAGAGGTGCCAGCACAGGCCTCCTTTTCTTCACGTATCGACTCTCACGCTGCTGTGCCAGTCACAGACTGGCTGCCCACGTTTGTTAGGTGTTCCAAATGCACGACTCATTTTCAGTGCTTACACTGTCATCACTCCTGGTGCCAAAAGACTTGTTTTATAGCACTGACATTAGGAGGGAATGCTCTGTAATACTCTTTACAAGGTACAAAAGGTACCAGGCTCTTCCTTCCTTTTAATCCCCCTGGCAGGACAGCCACACCTTAAGGGAAGACTGGCAACGTAATTTTCCACCTTGCTATGGAGGTGAAGGACATAAACCACCATCTCCAGCCATCTGACAGATACAGACCTTGCACACTCTTCCAAAACCAACAACCTTCCACCACAAGCCCTGTTTCTTCCTGTTTAAGAGCTTCCTCACATACAGCATTAGCAACTTTAGATCCTGAAGGCAACAGTGATGCATGACTAAGTGGATTGGCTGCAATTATGTGAACAGCAAGGGAGGCACAGAACTCTAATGCCATTACCACCTAAACCTCTCATTCTGTAAAACAGCACATGACCATCACATTCATGATAATAAGAGTTCTATTACCTGTCACCTGACCCTTAATACAAGTTTTATTATGGGATAAGAATCAAGAGAGAGAGCCAACTCTTTAACAGGCACAACCATCACCATTCTACTAAGGTTACACTAACTGAAAATAGAGTTCACATTGTATCACGAGTAGAAAATGAGAGGAAGAACATTTCTTTCCCATAGCTTGCCACTAATTTCCTTGTAATTTAAATGCAGAGTATTATTCCAACCTGCATGCATAGAGGCCAAGGGCTTACCGTGTCTGAAAACCACAGCAGGTTTGACTCTGGGTAGTAAGTGAACATGCCATAAATAGGGTTAAGTAGCTCTTTTAACAACAGGAGGAAAAATTCCTTCGTCACTCCTCCAGCATCAACAGCTTCTTCACCATCAAAGATGACCTGTAGAAAAAGCAAGTCAGTCAGTGACAAGGATGCAGAGCTGAGACTGAGTGAATCAGACCTCTCTCTACTCGAGAGCCATGCAAAGCAATTTGTCCAATGTGCCCAAACCCACAGTAACCCACGAGCTTGTTTCAGTGCTCTGCCTGCAGGGACAGAAAGGGAACAGGCATTTTGAGAATGCTTAAATCCTTATGCAAATCTTAAATAACCACCTGTTGTCCCAACAATCAAAGCAGCAGCATGGCAGCAACTACTGAAGATTGTGGCAATCTCTCAGAACTAAAACACATCCTGTTGTAAACAGCCTGCTCCTGCAGAAGGGCAAAACAGAGACTGTATAACATCACAAAATGCTTCCCTCCCTGATCCTTGCACACTCAACACACCAGGAGAAGATAGCAAACCCTGTGCTTGCCCCCTTGTAAACTATCCACTGCCAAAGCACTCCAGGAGTCAGAAAAAGGACTCAATCCTTGCTCTGACCAGACCAAATGTTCCTGTGTGCAACACCTATGGAGAAATTACTGCACACTGAAGTGGTAATATGAATGGCTCAAGGGCTGCAGAAATGTTTGCTAAATGAGAGGGTGCTAAAGATATGGGGGAAACTTACTTTGAGAGGTTTTTTCAAATCAATGTCTGAATGGATGCTCAACTCCCTTAAAGCATCACCAACTAAATTACTCCTGCGAACATGAAGTACCAGGAAAGGGCTTCTGGCCAGCAGAGGCTCCAGGGTGAGAAGCATGAAGACATTCTGCAAATTTGCACCATTTATTGCAACCTGTAAATAAAAGAGAAGTGAAAAGCAGCCTATACCTAAGCCTTTCTTTCCTCCTATGAAAGGAAACAAGGAAAATGCCTGGTGTTCCTTTCTGCCTTTTTGGTTTCTCCAGGGTTCAAGAATCCCCTGCTCCCTCTGTACTTTGTGTGTGCCTGTGTGCCCTGCTCCCAAATTTCCCACACCAACACTTAAGTCCACTGATCAATTCACCCCACTTGAGCAACAGATTAAATTACTAAACTTTTTTTTTTTTTTTTTCATTAGGCAGGTGGGTGGGGAGAAGAAGCTTTATTCATGCTCCTACTGAGTCAAGAAACTCAGTGTGAACACTCAGGTAAAAGTGAGTGCTGGAGGGAAAACAGTGCTACAAGTATACCAAGCAATGAGCCAGCTGACAAATGCATCTGGCAAGGCAACAAGGATCCCATCAGATACAATTCAAAACCCTCATCCACACAGATTTTCTGGAGTTGGGCAAGGCACAAAACCCAGTCTAAGCTTTGGCTGCACTTCAGTTATTTCTTCTCATGTGCTGTCCACAGTAAATGGCAAATTCACATTTAAAAATTCAGTTTAAAAGTCAAACCAGAGACAGAAATCTACCAGAGACCAGGCTTCCTCTGCTCCAGCATTCAGAGAACTGCTGGTTTCTCTGGCATTCAAGTGGTTGTCTTGCTAAAGATCCTGTCTCTCAGAAGAACAAAACCTGTACCAGTCTGCTGTTCTGCCAAGGTAAGGTTGATAGCTCCTCTCAGTGCACTGCTAAGAAACTGGGAAGCTGAAAACATGCAAGAGGCTGACAAAATGAGAGCAGGACAGATGACTGCAGCATCTGAGCATCGGCCAAGCCTCTTCTGCCTTACTGCAGGCTGTGTGCTCAAGCAGCCACAGAAAAGCCAGGAGATGGGTATTACATGGAACTAGCACCATAGCCACAATTAACTGTGATGACAGTTTTCCACCCTGAAGGAACCTGACAACTAAGGACCTCAGCAAATTTACTTCACAGAGGATGGGACTAGTCCCAGACCCAGCTGCCCTGGATGAGGGGTCAGTGCCCAATGCTTTGTCTGTCTCAGGAGGCACCTGTGTGAGCAGCGCCTGGCTCTGGGACACTTCCACTGGCACAGAGGCCAGCTGCCCTTGTCACAGCCTGGCTGTGAGCTGGCTTGGCTGCCACCTACAGGGTGCTGGAGCTGGACACCTGCTGTCAGCACTCCTGGAGGGCCCCGGGGCTGTGCCCCTCACTGCAGCTGGGTGGGTGGGCTGGCAACAGCCGCTGTGCTGCCTGCATCCTCAAACAGAACCAGGAGCTGGTCTACAACACTCACCTCATTATCAGAAGGAGCAACCACTCCTGCAGCAGGTAGAAATTTTGAAACAAGTGTCCACTTACCTGAATGTTTGTCTACTTATCCAGTCTTACAGCTCCTCACCTTACTCCTTATCCTTGGATTATGTTGCCAGACAAACATTTTTGAATGGAAAGACACCAAGCACTGCCTCTGCTATATCCAGGGCAAAGAGGCTCTCCAGCTACACTGCTCTCCTGTATCACGGGAACAACGAATTGTTGCACACACCAGCTCCCAGTTAATATCCTTTCCATGCAGGCACCATTGCAAAAGGCAGAGAAAAAGAAATGTGTCAGGAAAATTGGAAGAGAGAATGACTACCTGCATCTGTAATTCTGCATCTGTCTGTAACATCTTGGTCTTAGCTTGAGCATCGAAGATGAAAGGGTAAGAGCAGAGAGTCACAGCATCCTGCAAGAAAGGCAGACAAGATTTGTTCCTATCCACAGCTTCCAGAGCATTTCTTTAAATAAGAGTCTTGAGAAACAATTTCCTTACCTGCATGATGGATGGCCTTACTTTCTGTGAAAGAAAAAGAAAAGTATGAAAATCTTTTACTCTTTCAATTTTGTGTCTTGTAGGTTTTTTGGCTGGACTAGTCCAAAGGTGACCCAAAGTAAATTTTTCCTCCTTTGGGACCAACAACCCATTTTTCTTCCTCTTAAAGAAAAGCATGGGAACTTCCTTCTCAAGAAAATGCACAAATCTAATTCAGAACATGAACATCAAACATTACTGAGAGGACTGACTGGCACAGTCAGTCTGCCATGGGTGAAACTTGCTCTCATGAAGAGTAACAAAGGCAGAAACCGTATGAAACAACAGGAGAGACCATAAGGCCACTACATGGTGATACAACAACACCCCTGCAATGCAAATTACTCATCATTAGCCATATTGACACATTTTTAACTATCCCTTGCATAAATTTAAGTCAGTACTTTATTGTTCTGCTCACTAAAGGTAAGCACACAGCAGCACTATTTAATTGATGGAAAGTAGAGGATGGGGACACAGCACACACAAGACTTACAAAGCCCACGAAAACACACACAAAAGTTATCACTACAGGCAGGTTTTGCTCTTGCAGCATCCCTTGGTGGATGTTTTTTGGTGTTTTTTTTTACACTTGGGATTCCTTTCCTTGCTATAATTAAGAAATCTCACCGGGTTCCCACACAGCATATTCCAGCCCTCAGTTTAGTTATCTCCTTTCTTACAAATGGGAAAGTGAGACATAAAAGAGGTGAAGGGTCTTACCCAAGATCACCCAGCAGGTTACTGGAAGAGCCAGGAATAGAACCCACATCTCTTGAGGCTTGGTTCAGTCCCCTAGCCAGAACGCCACACTGCCTCCTCTTACAGAGCAACATTTTAACACCACTGGCTACATTATTCACAATACCTGCCTAAACAGCAGAAGTAAAGGGCAAAAATTATAATTTTAGAATACAGGACTTGGCTCCTGAGGTCTTGATTACATTAAAAGGATCCAGTGACTGAATTAATCCCCTTGTGCAAAGACTGAATGAAATTCACATGAACAATCACAGAGACTGTTGCAAGCTTTGGTTAAATATTGCTAGCTCCAACTCTTTCAACAGCCATTTTATTTTTAAGTCAATTGTGTAAAGCACTCAGATCTGAGATATTTAACACACAGAAGCTCCTATACTGAATACATTACGCTCTCGTTAAGGATATTGGAAATATAGATCTACAGCCAGAGACACAAACATGGACAGCTATTTTATGACTATACATAAAACCTCTTACCATTCCAGCCTGGTGCAAAAACCACATGAGATAATCCTCCTGAATGTCCACCAAACTGGAAATCTCAGGGATATAAAACTTATCATATTCCACATGTTTAACCTTCTGATTCACCTAGTAAAGAGGACAGGTGGAAATATTTTACATATTTTAACATATTTTCAGCATTTTTCAGGTTTTCTTTCATAAATTCAGTTACAGCAGCTTGCAACAAGAGGACCCAGAAAGTTTTGCAAACAACATACAATCTCTTGTATTTTGGTACAAACCAGGAAGAATCAAATAAAGCTCTTTCTAACTTATTTTAATTCCCTCTCCTCCTCACCCTGACCACCCAACAACAACACAGTGAGAGCAGAGACCGTCAAGGGACAGGTGTTTGTGATGCCACTCTGCATGGCCCAGCAGCAGCATCCTTCAGGGTAACTTTATGTCTAGTCTTTGAGACAGGACTAAACAGTCTTCAAGAGCCCTGGACTTAGGAAAGCCACTAACATCTTCCCCACGTGACTTGACAGACAGTGACACAGCAAAGGGCAGACAAGACTGATCATCTTGAGCCAACACATGCCCAGGCTTTCCCCTCACCTTGTGGAGTTTCTCCAGAAGCCTGAGAGCAGCTGTAATGTAGCTGCTGAACAGGACTGGGATCAGCAGCGTCTTCCTTCCACTGAGGAGGTAAACCACCGCACCTTTATAGAGGTCCACAAGCCTGAGGAAGTATCTTGGGCACACCTGCGACCACCAGTTATCTGGAAAGCAAAGGACATCAATATAAATCTTAATCAAAGGCCAGAGTATCCCCTAAATAAGGGGTTACAACTGAAAAAAAAGGGGAATACACCCAAAGACTCTTTCAAAAAACTTCCCCATTTCTGCCCTAGCTGTAGCAACAGGAAAGTGAGGCAGAGTCATCTAAATGCCAGAAACTGAAAAGCTCCTCCCTTTCCACTCTCACCAAGCCACATCACATTACCCAACCCAAACCCTGATCAGGGTGAGAGCCTGAATTTGAGGTTTTTCAACCTTCAGTCTTTCAATCTGTTTCAAATATCTGCCATTCAGGATACTGTCATCTTGTGGGCAAATATCTGTCTCTCAGGAGTGACAAGGAAAGAGCTGCCTGGGAAATTCCCTGCAGCACCACATACTTTTTCAGCAGGTGTCAGTCAGAGCGTGTCTCCTGGCACTAAAGGATTAACTCCCCCTCTTTAGAGAGGCTGATTCCTTTCTTGACAAGGACAGGTAACCCTTACTTTCCCCTGAAGGGACCCTGACTATTAGCTTCTTTCCTAGAACGTGTGAAGCAGAAGCTGGAGCCTAGGATTCTTTTGGAGGTCTGAATGCATCACATAGCAATTCACATGATAATACCAGGTTTAGTACAAGACAGCCTTAAGAAACAGATAACAAAAAGAGCAGTAGCTTAACAAATGTAACAATCATCAAGCAGCACATCTTCTGTTCAGTTGAAAATAAGCTCAGAGGAAAATATATTAGAAATTAAAATACTCAGAAGTGGGAGAAGAGTTTAAGTGTTCAGCTTAGTCACAGACCAATACGTTTATCTGCATCTGGTAGGGGACAGAATAATTTATTATTATATTTAGTATACTTTTTTTTTTTTTTTACTTTATACAGAAAAGATATTCTAAAGTGATCAATAGCTGAGCAAATTTAATCTTCACGATATACAAAAATCTGTATTTCAGTAGAGGAAAGCAAATTTATATGGAACTGAGTCTCTGAATGTGGCTAAACTAAGTAAGGTAAATTAGATTAATCTCCCTAGTAAGTTGTTCTTTGAAATGATATTTTACTTCGAAATTAAAACAATTCTTAAATGATATTTACCAAGAACTTTGCTGGGGTTGGTATCCAAGCGCAAAATAGCCATTGCTAAAGGAAGTGTCAGAGAGATGTAATACTTGGAGTCTTGGAATGGTGGGAATTCTGGGAGAATCAGATAGATCCTCATTGCCTCAACATCTGGTGGAGAGCTGGACAGCTGAGGAATCAAAAAGCTTTCAAAGCTCTTCAGTATCTACAGAAAACAAACCAAAAAAGACAATTTATCCATGGTGATAGAACACCTACAATGTATACAGTATTTAAGGGCTGATGAAATGGCAAAACCCTGAGTGAAAAAAAAACAAGCCCTGAGTTAAAAGTCAAACCCAGAGTGAAAAAGAACCCAAAGCTATAAACAGTGTAGCTAAAAGTGGCAAGGGGAACATGTATGGTTTTATCCCACAGCTCTGTACTTGAGAAAGAAATTCTCAGAGTTAGAATAAATTATACAACCATGAAGTACTCAACTCCTGACAGACACATAATAATTACATATATAACATACACAGCAGACATTCAAGTATTGAATGCCATGAGATAAAAATGTTTCTAAATAAAAGCCTTGGAGATACATTCTGAGGAGGTCAAAATCAGCCCAGGTCAAAGGAGAAGTACCATTAAACGTCTGGCTTTTAGATTTGCAGTACAACCTTTGCCCAACAATGCTGCTGGTACTTGCATGTTAGAGAGAGACAAAGCCCTAATGAATATCCAAATCTCAGAAGTGCAATACCTGTTCCAGGAGAATGGAGTGCTGAGAGTTCATCAGCTTCTCAAACAGCACTCTTGTGGAGTTCAGATCAATCCCTGGGATCTTTGGACTGGTTTTAAAATGTTCATCAATTCTTCAAAAAAGAAATCACAGACAGGCATAAGCTTAAGGAAGAAACCCCATTACCTGTGTATTGACATGACCTGAGAGTAAGCAACAGAGAAACGACCACTAGGGAATTCATAAAACGAGATACAAAGACGCTCTCTTCTCTGGGCCTTGGTTAGGGCTGAGATTCTTGCAGAGGAAACACTTCCTCCAAGTCTCCAGTGTGCCCAGGACACCATCACTGACTTAAGAGTGCTGTATTGGACACTCTGAAGGGGAAGGCAGCTATTAAAGACAGCATGCATTTGTCAGTTTGATGGTGTGACTGTAACAACATGGGAAGCTGAGCATGGCCTGCTGCAGCAGAAGGGCTGTTCCTGTAACAGCACAGGCTCCAGGCTGCAAACAGCTCCCCAGAGGCACCTAGGGCTGTGCTCTGCCAAGGCAGGGCTGGGTGTGCTCAGGCACACAGCCACAGAAAAGCTGCTGCCCCATCTAATCAGTAACACAAACATGGCCTTAGGATATGGGAGGGATGCACTGGGGTATTTCTATCAAGTGCACCTTGACATGAGACTTCACGTATGAAGGTACGTAGTTAAATACAGCCTCATTTAAGGCTTCAGAATTTATCATTCATTTGGTTGAAGATTCTCTGTAGAAGTTAAATCCTGCACTAGCCAAGACACCACTGAAGTGGAAGAACAGCTGTATTTGGTTGATGAAGCCATAAACTCCACTCATTTCCACATTCAAAGGAGACATGAGACTATTTAAAGTGACTCAACAACTTGGATACCTCAACAAGGGTTTTAAACCAACATGACACAACTCTTCTGAAGCAGTAACATGTCACAACACTAGAGAAGAAACCACTGGACAAGCAGAAAAACACCAGAATAATTAGCAAACTACCTTCTTTTTCAAGTTGCTCTTGGAATGTATTGCACAAAGATTACTCAGAGTAAGTACATTTTTCTTCACCTACTTACAGGTTATTTACTCATCACATCACCAGAAAAATTTCTCCTCCTCCTCATCTTATGCTGTTACCTCCTCAACATTTACAGACACAGCCAACACAAGCCTTCCCAACCCACAGCCTTTGACTCAGCTATGTGTCTTACAACCTTGTCACCACCTATTGTGGGTTACACCCATTTGAAATTCCTCCTTCTGTAAGCAGGAGCACAAAACTTTCCACATGTGATGTCACCTAAAAGGAAAACACTTCCATGTTGCCCTTGATGCATTTTCAAGAGCAGCCTGTGTGGAAGTACACTTTCACATGCACCAGCTAGCTCAGCTCAGACACCTGGCATCCCTAATTTCCCTTAATGTCCTATTCCTATCCCTCTCTTTAAAGATGCTGGTATCTGTTTCAAAAGGAAGAATAACAGTTGTGGCAACTCCAAGAAATCTGTGTTGCTTACAGGACACTCACCATGAACTCCCTGAGACCTTTTGCCTTCTTTACCCAGCTCTGACCACCCCACCTCTTTAGAGGACATCCTCTGCCCTCATCTCCTGCCTGATCAAAAAACATCAGATCCCACTGCAGAAGTGAGAGCAGCAAAGGGACTCCTGTCTGCATCAAGGGAAAGCCATACATGTGGAAATTTGGCACTTACTTCTTCTCCAAGAAGCTTCCATTCCAGCAGGCAGCTGAGGACAGTATCTGAACAACATTACTGTTTGCAGCAGGAAGACAGAAGAAAGCAGAAATACAGGTTATGAATGGATGCCTCAGTAAATCTCTTCATCTCTCTTCCCTTCCTTTTATGGGAAACAGTATCAGGATAACCCCTTTAGAGGCACAGAGGGCAAGATTTCATTCAGGCTCATGTAAGGTCCCTCTTTGAAAGGAGGAATTACTGCCTCCTTTCCACCTATTCTGCCCTTCTCATGGCAGGCACACTGGGGAAAGAACTTTATCAAACTGTTCACAAGTTCTTGCTGCTTCTCAAGAAATTTAAGCACACAATGCAGGACAACTTTAAAACCAAGTTCCCACCCACCATCTGCAATGCTGAGGAAGCCTCAAATTCCTCTGGTTTTGCTCAGAAGGTCTCACCTGGCAGCCTTGTGACAAGGCAACTTCTCCCCTTGGAAAGGACCAAGAACCACACTTGAAAAGGCTGCTAAATTTCAAGTGAAAGCATGGCACGGAAGCCAACAAAATTATTTAAATAGAACTTTCAACAAAAGGCTTGTCCAGTGCCACAAATACCTACTTGACAGAATTAGAACTGTTCTTTTCTAAAAGCTTTTGCCTCCAGACATCTATAGTTTCATCATTTATTAAACAGGTGTAACGTGTTTCATTTATGGTCCGGAAATCATCAGCAGGCAAGGAATTCTGTGAGAAGATACAGATTTCAGCAAAGACAAGGCTTGTAAAACAATTCCTTCCTATCCATAATCTCTGTTTTAATAAATAACTGATAGCTTCCTTAGTGTGGTCTCTGAAAAGGTTTGGTTAGAAGTTTTGTGGCATTACTAAGAAGTCCAAAAGGGAAGGTATGAAAAAGTTTGAGGGAAAAAAAGATCCTCAATATATTTTAAAAAGAGGAAAATAAAAAAATAAAAGTATCATTTCCTAGTTGTAACAAAGCTCTCATAAATACTGTCATATATAACTACAGGCTCAGTACAGTTATTTTAGACCTATTTCCATGCCTCAAAAGTTTATCCCAAACACTTCTTAAAAGAAAAAAGAAGACAGAAGTGGGAAAACCAATTCAGCATTCAGCCCTCCATTCAGCACTGACTGACAAAATCCCATTGTATGTGGCTGATGGCCCTAAACACCAACCATGCAGAAGCCATTGCCACAGGTGCCAAGCAGCCCCCCTGCTTCCAATCTGCAAAGACTGGATTCCCCTCCTTGCTGATTAAACTGGAATCAGTGTCTTCCCAATGGCTTTGATGTGCCTCTAAAGAAAGGCAACTTTCAGCCACTGAAGTTGTAAATCCCTGTAACAACTGTCAGAGCTGGTAAGGCTTTTAAGGCAGAATGGAGTCCAAAGCAATTCAAAATATTTTAGAAAAAAAAAAAAGCTGTGTTGTGAATGCTGGAACAGGGGAGAAGACTTGAAAAGATACTTCATTTGGCTTACCTCGTATTTGGAGCAAAGCACAAATGTTTGGTCTCCTCCAGAGAAGATATGTTTAACAATGTGGTATTTACAGGCGTCTGTTCAAGAAAGACACAGTTGTGTTAGAGACTGATGAATGCAAGACCCTACTTGTACTTCCTCCCCTCCCATTTGCACTGCCAGCACAACTACAAGGAGCACCTTTGAAGGCCCTGCTGAAATCAGCTGGAATTCAAGCAGTGCAGCACTTTCATGGGAGGTACACGGGAGGGGAAAGTTGTCACTTTTAAACTGCAACAGGGGCTTTAAGAGAACAAAGCCTCTGGAACACAGTATTAGTACAATTTCATGAAGTCTCAAGACTGCCAAATGCTGAGCTCTGCCATAAAAAGAGAAAGGGAGATGGCACCCATTAACAGAGAGAGAGCAAAAGGTCACCCAGAAATAACCACAGTGCATTTGGAACAACAGGACGGTTTTCTTTCGGAATTTCCAGAAATTTCACAGAACAATGCTACGATGCCTTTAGACAGCCATGGGTGAAATTATTTATGTCCATTTGGCACTTCAAATTGAGCACAGTACATACCAGGTTTCCCTGAGAGTTGCCCATTATGAGCTGCCCAGTGACCCTTGACAGGAGAGGGACACTTTACATTGCAAGTGTGTCCTGTTCCCAGCTGGCCTCTTGTTCCACAGCCAAATGCATAGATCATTCCTGAAGAAGGCACAAAGGCTAAAGTGTGATGTCTGTAAGAGATGGGTACAGAGTTTGGGCCTTGTTTAACAATATATTAAAAAAAAACAAAACCAAAAACAAAGACCAAAACTAACCAGGAAAAAAAACCCAAGAACCAAACCAAGGGCAGCCTAGAACTTATTCTCATTTCTCCTAGGCTAGAAGCTGGTGCCAAGCAGCACCTTTACACGGGCACCAATGCTCAGTTTTTGCCACCTGATGGCACCAGTTGATGGGATGAAGCCCTTTAGGAGGAAGCAACAAAGAGCAGCTTGTGCCAGCACGCAGCTGGTATCAGCTTAGTCATTTGCTAAGCCTGAACATTCTGAAAGGCAACAACACTGCACCAGTGTTGCAAACCCACTTTTCATTAAAGAGGCTGGAAACTTGTGACCAAAGGGGCTTCTGCTCTAAAGTCTTGCTGAATTATTAAGTTGGAAAGGTGTCTTTTACAGGTTAAAGCGCAGGGTACAGCCCCAATTAAAAAACCATCTCATCTAGAGGGCCTTAAAACTCTCATGCAAAGTAAGATTTAAATTCATTTAGCTTTGACATATAGAATGCAGAAGCAGGACTATGTCCCCCTATTTGCATGATTCAATATCAGCATTAACCTCCAGCAAAGGTAAGTTTCTGACTGCACACAGGACTCACCTGCCACAAGCAATCTGGGATACTTCACTGCCCATCAGCTCGAGAACTCTTCGGGGGTTCACCTCATCATTCATGGAGTCATGGCCCAGCTGCCCACAGGAACCTGCACCGAAGGTGAACACCCCTCCACTCTGTTAGCAAATCAAACAGCAGAGTCTCCATTTAGGGACTCATAACCCAGCAGGATCTGACTCCAGTTTCAGTATGAGCCCAAAGTTTAGGCAGAGATTGATGGGGATTTTCAAAGGATTCAGAAAAGAAACTTGGGTTCTGCTAATGCAGCTTTCAAATAAGCTACCTTGCCACCTATCAGAAACTAACAGAATTCTCTTCAGGTGTATCTACACTAGACAAGTTCCTACACAACTTGTTTCCTAGAATGGTATTTTTCCCACAGGAATCCCAAACTCAGTTGTTTAATTTGTTTTACAGTGGAAAACACTGAGGCTCCAAAACAGGAAGCAACACCTACGAGGTGGCAGAGCCAAGGCAAGAACTGAGCTGCTCTCTTTCAAACCCTCGACCTGTCCTCTGGCCACTAAATTATACACCACTTGGAAGTGGCAGGTTTGGAACTGAAAACCTCTTGTAAATGTTTTGAATACTAATGTTTAATTTAGACACTCATCCATTTCAGCTCCCATCTTATTCTGATGCACAGTATTACTCTATTTTCCAACAAAATGCTATTTTCACCCCTTTGGATGTGTGTTTGTTAATTTTTTTTCCTCCCAAAGCTAATCTTTTTAAGTGATTCACCTGAGTTTTGCTATTTGTTGCCATAGATTATTAACATCTTCACCTTCAAAACCAGCAGAGGATCGTGTTGGCAATGAATCTCAGAATATACAATTAGGTGACACTTTCCACTTAGTTTCTCTTACTGGGGTCAGAAGAATACCTTAAGTCGATCTGTGTTTTTCTACCATTACACAGCAAACTACTGTGAAACCATCAGGCAGGTGAGACAGTGGCCAGGGTTCCCAGGTCAGTATCTTTACCTTTGTCAGGACTGCTGTGTGTTCCTCTCCACAGCTGATGTAAACAACCTTCTGAGACCGCAGCAGCTTCACGTGACAGGGGGACTCTCTGTCTGCAATGAAGTCAAAGGAAATAAAGCAGCTGCTTCATAAACACAAGCCTGCATGTCCAAGGAAAGCACTGCCAGTCTGATTTTCAGACATGACGTGGTCTGTGAGCACAAGGGAAACTTTAACAACTGTGGTGAAAAAGGCCCCACGTGTCCCCCACTGCTGCTTTTCCCCTCGAATTCTTAAAAGACTTGACTGACTCAAACAAAATTGTCCAGAGCAAGAATGCACGTGTTGATTATCTTACATAAATTCAACATGCACTTGCTGTTTGGGAGATATGGCGAGGGCAGCCTAGAAACACCCACCTTCAGCTTCATGCTCCATTTCAGACTCCTCAGGAATGACTGCAAATATTTGTTTCCAAAATCTTGCTTAGACCTTTCCCATACAGAACAACCCTGACACGTGGGAGACACTTGTGTAAAACACATGGTAAGCTGAATCCCAATGTGTATTTAAATACTCAGCTTTCCTTCTGTTGTCATCCTTTAAGCAGAAGATCCTCCTACTTGCAAAGGCTAATCACTACCAACCATTAAGCAAGGCTTTTCTCCTTCACTCTGCCAGCCCTAATCATTTAAAGTCTGTCTTCCAGGGATGAATACTGTAAAAATAAAAGCTAAGCACTTCAAGGAGCAGCAGATAACCCCAAAACAATTAGATATTAAGGGAAGCAGCTGTTATTTCACACCAACAAAAAGTCAGGTTCCTACCTATAGAAGTTGCCCATTTCTTAAGATTCTCACCTATGGATTTGTAAGGTGCATTTTTACTGAGTAGTGAAAGAAAAACAGTCACATTTTCATGAGTTTAGAATTAAGTGCATATTTTTGATTTACTTTTTTCTGTATTTTAGCATTCTGATCTTTCTTTTGACAGGAATGACACTTCTCTATGTAGCATAATTGCTAATAATAGCAGTGCTACAGAATACCTATGTTTGCAGACCTTGCTGTTCATGTTTGACAAGTATAATTCACACTGTCTTACCATGATTCACTTACCATAAATACCACATATTTACTACAATGCCAGGCACTGAGGGGGAAGCAGAATATGATCCCTGACCAGCACAACCCCACAAGCTGATGCTTATTCTGCTCATTTAAGATTAGCCCTGTGTCAGTGTAAACCTCTCATATGTAAACTGCAGCTTTGTTTCAATCAGAAGCATTTATCTGCCAATCTACATGGAAAGGATGCTGCTTCTGTTAGATCAGCCTTCATTTGGAGACACTACAAGGTATCTGGGTGCATGCTAGGTATCACATCCATACTCAGTAACTTGCCTAGACACTTAAATCTGCTCAGGAATTATGCAGAAACCAATAAAGAGGCTGACTTGAAGGTCCAAAGAAAATGTTCCATTCACTTGCATTATTCCAAAAAGTTAAGAGCGTGTGAATGACAAGCAGAAGAGATCTGGGCTTTTCAGACCCCCGCCTGAAAAGACTACCATTGGCCCTATGTGCCTGGCAAACTGTGCAACAAATAAACTAGACAACATTTTACAGTACCGAGATATTCAGTGTTGCTGTCATTTTGTAGCATACAGATGCTCACCAGTCAGTCATGCTGGGAAATGAGGAGATGGGTTCAGCCTGCTGTTCTGCAGGGAAAGCCTTTGCTCCAACCAGCTTCAAACAAAATATGGGCAAAATATTTTTGAGGAGAGGGAGAAAGAATATGAGCACTTTCTTTGAGATTTGCATGTTGAAACTCACACTTGAAAGACCTCTCTTTTTAACACTCCACATTTAAATTAACACCCACTAGGGAAAAAAAAATGTTTCTGTTTCTGCTAAGTATGGAAAGCCTGTAGGGACAGAGACTTTCTCTGCCGTCTCATCCCAGGAGGAGCTGCTGAGTGTTACAGACTCACTCAGTAAAAATACACTGGCAATGCAACAAGAGGCACTAGGCCAAAGGAATCTATCCTTCTTTCACCTAGCAGCATAATTTTCATACCTCGTTCATCACTTAGTCCCAGCTGTCCTGAGCTGTTCTTTCCCCAGCCAAACACAGCCCCTGAGAGAGACAGGGCAAAACTGTGGGCTCCACCTGCAGCAACCTGAGCCAAAGGGATCCCATCAAGAGACTTGACACGCTGTGGACTGGCTTGGGAGGGACATTCTTTGCCCAAGCCCAGCTGACCATAGCTGTTCTGCCCCCATGTGAAGAACTGGCCATCTGAAACACGGGAAGAAAGAGAATGGTGGGTGAAAGTTAGCCAACAGAAAAGCAAGTTTGCCAAAATGAAAAAGAAACAGTTCTGGAGGCTTCACTCCCACCCAAGCCTCATGATGAAAAGAAAAAAAGCAAAATCAAGAGAGACATTCTTTGCTAAAAAAAACAACCCATAGCTTGAAGTCACCAGGCAAATAAACACACAGGCAAGTAAGTGCAAAATACAACTGCCGTAACAAACACTGGAACAAAAAAACAGTCCAAGTTTCACACAAAAGAGTAACAGCCAAGGAGAATTTCAACACAAAGAAATTAATTACACACATTTTTCTAAATCAAGATGGAAAGCTTTCAAGCATTCCTGCCATCATTCACCAGTGAAACAGTGGGTGGTCTGTGTGTAATATTTACTTTGTTCACAGTATTGGCAAAGCTCTTCCCCAGTATTCATGGTACCTGATCCATTTTATAGCATCCCATTTGGCCCAAAAGCAGTCAGGACATGGGATGTCCTTGATTTATTATGCAGAAATATGCAGTCTTGGACACTGTGCAAAATAACAGCCCAAATTTTGGTAATTAATAATGGATGTCACAGTACCTGCTGCCAGAGCCAGACAATGCCAATTTCCACAGGAAACCTGCAGTATCGTCTGTTGGTTCAACTTCTTTATCAACCTGAAGATGATGACACTATTTTAGAATAAGTGTCCACAAATACGGTATCACCTTAGATAAAAATTTCCATTTCCACTCAGATATTTGTTGCATATATACACAGAATCTATGGTTTTGAGACTGAGGAACAGTGCCTTGAAGGCAGTCCAGATCCACACGTAATAGATGCAAAGCTGTGGAGACCTCTAGACACTTGACTAATAACTCAACTACATTTCCTGCTGTGACACTGAATCCAGCCATCTGGAAATGGTGAAAATAGCTGGTTCTTGGTGTCTCTTTCACTATTCTTTTTCAGGCACTGACATTTTTCATACTGTTATGGGCCTAGCAGTTCCAGTGAGTTACAGCACCAAACCCTCTTCAGTGCTCTGTACAGAGAATAGCATGTCAAAGGTTCAACTTATTCCACAAAAATGTTATTTTAAAAATGGCACTATCACATTGCTATGTGAGCCCCTCTTTCTCTCTCTCTCTCTGTTTTATCAGAACAACATGCAAGTTAAAGACTGTCTTCCCACAGAGCCTCTCAGCTCAAACATTAATCTTTTGTAATTGAAACTCTTCCTTTAAATACTGTTTCAATAACAGCCATCCTAGAGGGACATCCCCAAACTTCTGCTCTGCTCTGGATCTGCAGTGGCAGACCAAATGAGAGACTGCATCTGTTGTTAACACAGCATGATGAAACACCATGAAGTACAAACAGTATTTCTGGTTTTAAGTACTCCTTCATGCACCTCCTTTTTCTGTACAAAACATTGTGACATTTTTCATGGAGGAAATCAAGCACGCTCCAGTGTACTTTTCCATACCTCAGCCATCCATGGGCAGAAACAAAGCTCCTGAGCACTTGCAGTGCTCAGCTGCAGTCACCAGAACAGCAATGAGGAGAAGGAATCACCTACATCCCAACATGGGAAGGGCCCTATTCCTGCCACACTGAGAGAAAGTAACCCCCCCAAGGTGAGCAGCCCTTGATGCATCACCTCCAGGGAGCTTCCCTGAGGAAAGCTGACCCTGGTAAATGCTTACCTTGGTACTGTCACTGCATCTTCCATAGTGGTGAGCCCCAGCTGTCCGTCGCTGCCGGCGCCCCAGGAGAAGAGCTGGCCCTGGTCGCTGAGGGCCACGCTGTGCGACTCCCCACAGGCCACATGCACAATGTGCTGCCCGGCCAGAGCCCCGATTTGCTCTGAGGGAAACAGAGGGAAAACATCTCTGGTCACAGCACTCATCTCACAGTGACACACGGACACCAGGTCTGGGAAAATCCGCATGCAAAGCCATGCCGGGGAGTACGCTGATCCCCGGTTTAGTTTTAAAACGTCCTACAGGAGAAAAAGCACTAGCTTTACTGAAAACATGTCACTGCTGGGCTCTTCTGAAAGCCTGGATTGAAGATCACAGAAGGCAGGCAGGTATGCATGCCTCAACCACAATGACAGCCAGCCTCAGCGACACAGGAAAAACTATCAGGTTATTCAGGAACAGATAACCCAGATCTGAGGTTTCCCCACTCAGTTTTGATTCAGGGATCATCCCACGCTGAGAAGACAGCAGACCCTGTAAAACATATTTGACCTTCTACAGCTCCCATGTCCAACAAAGATGAGTCATCCACAAAGCTGGATGTCATCCACAACCCATCCACCACACCTTGACTTATTGCTTGATGTGTATGTGTTACAACACCCTCCACGCTAATCTTGGAACAAGTTTGAACGTATCAAACTATTACTGTCACTGTCAAACACTCATTAAAAAAAGTACCATATAAAGGAAGCAAAATGAGATGAAGGAATAAAAGTTTAAAAAGAAAAAAAATGGAAGACAACCCACAACTGACTTTTCATCATTACATCATGTTAGGCAACTGAAACAGGTTTGACAACTCCTCTAAAAACACTTATAACCAAATCTTACTCCTTACACAATTCTCACAAATGGGCACCAAAAAAAGTCTTGATTTTCAATAAAACATTGGAAATAACACAGAACTGATGGCAAAGCTCCCTGCATGCCAGACAAAAGCAAAGTTGCTTTTCTTTTTTCTTCCCTGAATAAATACAAGTGTTCCAGTTTGTTAAAAAAAGTGACCATATAATATTGTCTTTCTTATTTATGTATTAACCTTTACATGTCGTTACTGATCATAAGTATTTGGATATGGTACAATTTGTAACTCCTTTTAGCTGCACATTAGTGTAACACAATTTATTAGTTTTGCACCGTATAGCTCATAGAAATAATTGTATGATGGATATATCTATGTATGCACTACATAGCTTATAGAAATACTGGTGTGCTAAATGTGCTATATTGTAAGCCTTAGCAAAACATGAAGTTTTAAAGCATTTTAAAATGCTTCCGTGTAACTAAGAAAGCAGTGTAAAGCAAACATGTTGATTTTCCCACATCTGCTGACTGACCTCTCCAAGTGGCAACAGTGACACAAATCTGAACACGGAGCTGGAGAAGAACTTATTAACTCTTCCTTATCAGGGAAGTGTGAAACAACAGGATGAGAGAATAAAATATATTGACCTAATGTACAGGATGTCATGCAGGTAAGTCAGCATGTAAGGCCAAACAAAAGAGTTTCTGCAACTTCAAAAGCTCCCAAGAATGTCTGAATAATGTATGAAACACATGAATATGTGTGTACCTCAGTAATGTAACAGTATATAGGTAACAGTGTCTTAATCTACCCTTGTGTTCTTTGGTCAATAGACAGAAGCACCCCAGCACTGGGCATTGTCCCTTTTTATCCCCTTATTAAACTTCTAAAAACTCTAAAGTGTGAACTCTGTTTTTCACAAGGTGGATGGAGAAAGATTTCAGCCTGTAAGCTACAAGGCAGTGATCAGTATTACTGAAATCCCACTTGCCTGGGACATAAGAGGAAAGGGTCAGTACATGTCATTCCATGAAAATGATACCCCACACCACAGGCATCCAGAAATCAACACACAGAGCACCAAAAGCTGCTTGCCAATTAATCTACATGTCTTAAATTAGTGTGGAAAAAGGTACCCCTAAGAGGGCTTGCCTTCTATGTCTGGGAATGAGAAAATGACGAGAAAAATCCCTAATGGATGTTACTGAAGAAAAAGGTGGCAACTATTTAAATACATCTTCTAGCCAAGGAAAATACCACCTGAACATGTGCTTTGTTTCACTCAAAATACTTAATGGCAACAGAAGCACAGTTTACAAGTAACAAGCACACAAACATCTAAGAAAGAGTTGAGACCTGCCATCCAATAACACCTTGGTCCTGCAGCTCTTCCCTGCAGCACTAATTTCACCCAGTCCCACTGCCAGTGCAGAGACACAGCCAGGTTTGAGGGTGGTAACTCAATTTAGACACACAGCTTCCCACTTGGGCCCACAAGCACCCAACTATAGCACTGCTTGGCGCTCTGGTTTATGTTCATTTACATACATATATAAATCAGGGAACCTATTTTTATCTGAGAGCTCTAAACAACCAGCAGCTGTAAGGGCTGATCAAGGTCAATGACAAACAGCAGACAAGGTGTCTCAGCAGCACATGTGACTCTGCTCTCTTCCTCTCAGACATCCAGCAAGACAAACTGCTGCACTGTGCCCAACACACCACTTAAGTTCAGACAGGTGTGTTTCTGCACTGGGACCTGAAGGTCCAGAACTAAAGCTGCTACTGGAGAGGATCACACCATCAAAAGGAGAGGAGGATGAGACCATCCACTTCTCCAAGGAAAACCCTTCGATTTATGAACCCATCACTTCACCACCTCACCTATGCTGGAAGGGCACACTGAGACATGGCTGTTACCCAGAGCACCTGAGCTCCTAAAAGTGATCACAAATTCACCAGACAGCCCTGCTTCCAAAGCTGCTCCCTGCACACTGCCAAACACTCCAGGGGACATCATGAGTCCAACAACACAGTAAACATGGACAATATGGGATGCTGGGGCACCCATAGCTGAGACTGTTTTGCAACCTGCAGGCATGTAAAACACTTCCCTGGGAAAGCAGCATTTGCCACAGTTAAGTTTTATTTCCTGCATCACTGCAGCACCTCAGGGAGGTGACAGAAGACTCCAGTGACCAAGGATTAACATCAGAAGCTGGAGAAGGCAGGACTCTGACCACAGTAGTATTGCACACAGAGAAAGAGTGCTTTGAGGTATGCAGCTGTGGCAAGGACCTCACACACTGGGACACTGAGAGGACACCCAAAAGGTTCAGAAATCCGAGGTTGTCTCAGTCCCCTCTGACTCCATCTAAAGTTTAATTTGGCAACATAAATGTGACCTTGCTCTACGTGCCATCCCAAGAGACAAATAAATACCAACTTGTTTTGAAAGGCTGCCCTGTGTCACTGAAAGCCTTCAGTGACTGCACTGCTCACCAATGGAACAGAGTACAGTCTCACCCAGATGTGCTGGATAACCACAGACAGAAAAAAAAACCCCCGTGCCTGTCTGGGAGATAAAGCTCTTTGCCTTTAGAAAGGTGCATGTATGGCCCATTTTACTACAATACATTCCTAAGACCCTGTCAACAGCAGTTTGCCTGAAAAGTCACGAAGAAATGTAAATGCCAAATAGTTTTAAGTTTTATACACACACACACACATTTATTTCCAGAGATGGAAAAAAGCCAGCCTTCTGCTGGGAACACAGGCTGCCCAGGCAGTCCAACAAGGGTCCCAGTTCACTGCCAGCTGCCAAGTCACTGAATGTACCATCTCTCAGCTTACATGGGTATCAAAAACATCTATCTAACAACTACTTCTTTGTTGACCTCCCATCCCTTCCTCACATCAAAATATTAGATGTTTTAGTGGTTGGTATACATTAAACTTCCAAAGCATCACAACACCATTATTCACTCCTTAGAAAAGATGTAACACTGCACTGAGATGGAGTACAAAAGGTGAAGTTTATTCTTAGTGTTGTGTCTCATGTAATTGATGAATAAAACCCATCAAGTGGGGCTTAAAAGGCAAAATTATCTATAAAGCTAAGCAGAACAAAACCCTGAAAGCAATAGGGAAGGGCTGAAGCAATTATGCAATACAGTGTTTCAACACCTCATAAAACTTTCAAAAAGCAAACAAAAACTCTTAAGTTCCAAGAAGTAGACACTGACAGTCTTTTCTTCCTGAAGCTGTCAGCTGTCTCAAAACAGCACCAATGCTTAGAAGTCCTTTATCAGTTCTTCATATCTGGTGGAGTTCCAGCTTTGATTTCTCTCTTCTGCCACTTTATCCTGTGGATCTCAACACAAGCAGGTATAGCAAGGTTTGGCTTTTTCTCATTTTCACCCTGTTAGATCTCTTCATAAAATACATTGGACTGAAAAATAAGGCAAAATGTCTTCAGGACAGTCCATCTGTGAATGGTGACAGACCTGCTTCCCACGACTGCTCTTGTGTTTTCTTGGTTTGCAAGGACACTCCAGCAAAAGTTGACAATAAGCAGCTTATGTTTCTACAACTCAACTTTCTGACAACCAGTGCATTTAGCTTGAAGGTTTGGGAATGGCAGTAAAGCTGGGACAAGAATGAAAACCCCTGACAAGCCCACCACCAGTCCATAGCTTCCCTATTTATAAAGCAGGGCCCATGCTTTGTCCCTACATTTTTGGAAAGCTATACAAGATCTTCAGGGTCTGAAACTGCTAGAAGTACAAAGTACTCACTTATACTGCTCTAATTAGAATGCACAGGCAATGAATGATTAATTAGCTTTCCTACTCCTAGTAATTTTATCAGAGAGTTGGTACACCCTGTCTGTGTATAGCTTCCAGCTGCTCACAAGACAGGCTTTTGCTAGAGGACGGGGCAAAATCCTTCAGCCATATGTGTACCAGGATGTACAGGAACAGCACCAGATGGCTTCTTCTGCCTGGAAACTACAGGGAAACCATCAGCCCTGAGGTAACACCTTCAGCGGCAAAATCTGCATCCCTGGTCAGAAGAAGCTGTGCCTTGGAAGCATTTCAAGTGATTTCGGTCTGCTTGGACATCTGGCCAAAACTTCATCATCTCCCTAGTTTGACAATAAGCAACTCAGGGCATTTTGCTCATCTTGGTTGTTGGTGTCTGCAAAGAAAGCGCTCGCAGATTCTCAAAAATAGGTGTATTGCCAGCTTGTCCAGATAAGAGATGGTGGTAGAAATACAGGGAAGAGAGAAACA